CAAGCCAAAGTGGAGTAAGCCACTTGCTGTCTTCCCTTGAGCCCCACCACATGCCTGCATATCTTCTACTTATCTCCCAAGTTGCAAATACAGATTTACCAGAGAGGTGTGGGCTTTATTCCCAGCTGTGTACCTGGTTGGCAGGGTGACCTTGGGCATGTCGTCTTATCAGCCATGACTCAGTTCCCCAGCTGTAAAATAGGCAGCAAATGTGACCTTTGAGAGTCCGGTGGAGAAAAGGAGGGTACTTCTGGAGAGAGCTGAGCCTAAGGGTGCAGAGGGGACACTGTGCTTCCCTGTGGGCAGCAGATCCCAGCATCCAACTGGTGCCAGCTCCAGAGTAGACTGAGGCCACAGTCCCCAAGGACGAAATCCTGAAATGACTGCAGGCAAAACTAGTGGTTGAAAGCCGAGCAAAACTTTTGGGCTTTACCAAAATGAAGTGGGGAGGGCTGGTTCCAACTTTTTCATCTCAAATGCATTTTGCAGTGTTCCAGTCTGTAACAGCTGCAGGGAAAAAGCCATTTTGAAGTGCTTATTCTGGAAGGTGGGGATGGAGCAGTTGGGCAACTCCTCAAGATTTCTTCTGTGAGTGTTGTGGTTTTACTGACTCTCCCTTGGAGGTGACCGGTTTCACAAACACATCTGGAAGGCTGCATCAGCCTTTCCTGGTGGGAAGATGGTGCCTCAGCAAAACTGACTGTGCTCCCTTGAAAATCTGGCCCTTCTCCATTGCAGCACTCCATGATCTGGAGTCAGTGCGAGGGCATGCAGAGACAGTGGCATCTTCTGGCCTCCACGACTGCTTATATTTCTATTTCTCAGTTCCCCTTCCCACTGCGACTTGTTGGTGTTGCTGGGCCTTTTCCCAGTGTCAGCAATGTAATCCTGTTTGGTTTAAATGTTTGTTTGTTTTAAAAAAATGGATCATGTTGCTGGAAGGGGTCTTGGGTGAGGTTGCTCCTGCAGTTGTGCTGGCAGACCTGAGAAGGCAGTAGCCCGTGGCAGAAAGCAGGGATGAATTATTTCTAAATGTGCATATGGCTGTTGCTCCCCAGCCTGCTGGAGCAGCCCAAAAGCAGCTCCCAAGCTCAATTTTTTTTTTTGCTAGTTTGCTCTTTTTACACATTGTTGTGCTTTATAAGCTGTACTGAGACCATGATGGACACATCTGCCAGACAGTGAGGTTGGAGCACTAGAGGGCCAGAGGAGATGTTGCTGGGCCAGGACATCTCTGCACCAAGCAGTGCCCCAGCCTCCCTGCACACACCTACAGTGATTATAATGTGAGGGGTGATGATTCCTGGAGGGAGCTGGGATTTTGTTGCTCACTGTGGGCAGCGGAGCATGTCTCCCTGCCAGCTGAGAGGGCAATCCTGGCGGATCCCAGCTCCAGGGTTCCCTCCTGCCTCGGAGCTGCTGTACTTTGGAGGCCTGCTTTGCAAAGCCAGCATCATCTGACCTTTCTCCGTGGGCTCACCAGGGAGCCCTGCTCTTCCAAGGCTACCTGATACTGAAGTCTCTTGATTAGAGCAACAAGGAGAGCCCAGGAGCCAAACCACTGAACGTGCCCTTTGCACTACGGTGCTGCTTTCCCCAAGTGCTGCTTCAGCCTCCTGCAAACAAGCTGCCCAGTTAATGTTTGATTTGCCCAGTGACGTGCAGCCCAGCTGAGCCAGCACAGCAGCAGGAGCAACCCTGGCAGATAACGCTGACCTGCCAGGGGACAGGATGCCAAGCCCTGGGGTCCTCACCGGGGATTAATCCACACTCACCAAGTTCCCTGGTGGCAAACACTGCCCGGGGAGCTGGTGCCCTTCCCTCTGCCCCAGGATACAGGGCAGGCAGCAGTCTGGGGTCTTGAGCAAAATGCAAGCAGGGGGCTGGGGTGCACCTCTTTGACCCATGGAACTGGTGTCTCTGCACATTGCCACCTGGAGCAGGATTTGTGTGTGAGGATTTGTACCCTCACCAGCCCACTGCAAGGTACCTGTAGGGTTCGGCCCTGCCCAGAACACAGCAGCCCTATTGCACAGCTCAGCCCCCCAGACTCCTCATCCCATGTCTGCCCCAAGGCTGGCTCCAGTGGTGACCAAGCCCAGGGCTGTGCAGAACTGGCAGTGGCTGGTGGCCACGGAGCTGGCTGTTAGCAGCACTCGCAGATGTTTCCTGTGGAGCAGCACATAAGTAGCAGTGTCTGGCCTGCTGCCAGCATGCCTCAAAAGGCTCTTGAGGTCACAAGCTACACCAGGCCAAGCCGGCCAAGAGCATGGCGGCTGCCAGGAGAGTGCAGGGTAGGCAGTCCTGTCGGCCGGCTCACATGCATGGAGCATGAGAGCCATGCACATCTCCTGTCTCTGGCTTCTGGATGCCCAACACTGGGGCTGGAATCTGCCACCCTGTGGGTCCTGGTCCTCCTCATGAGCTGGGCGCTTTCCCATCCCCATCCACTGGCTGCCCAGTGCAGTCAGCAAAAGCCCCAGAGGGAGTTGCCAGAGGACCCTGCTGGGTTCAGAGCTGCCATCAAGTGCTGGTGGCCATCTCCAGGCACAGCAGAGATTCTCTGGTGACAAGGCTTGTTCTCTGGGAGTCACTAGGGTGACACTGGTGCTGCGTCAGCATTGAGGGCTGGGTGTTTTCTCCAGCTCTCAGCAAAAAGCAAAGGTCAGGGCTGGGAGGCTCAGCTAGTGGGGATGGTGGGGACAGTGGGGATGGAAACTTCCAGCACCTGGAGCAGACTGTGCTGTGTCCTGGGTCACTGGACTCTGCTGAGCCTAGAGGTTTGAAGCTGGAGATTGCATGGTGTAACACTTTCCCAAGGCATGACCAGGATAAGTGTGATCTGTGCTGACTCAGCCACCACATGGGCACTTTGGCCTTGGACAGGGCTGGAGAAGTTCCTCATCCTCTTCCACCTCCCACCCGCTCGGCAGAGCCGGAACAGCCGGCAGAGCACCGAGAGCCAGCTCTAGGCACCCGCACTGCTGGATCTGTCCCTCTGCCCTGTGAATGGCATGGTAGCAGCGTGCCCTGCTGGGGCTGGCAAGTCAGGCTGGGGGGCTGCGAGTTGCTCTTCCTTCCACCCATGAGTCCTGGGTGCTGCTCTGGGCTGGGATTCAGCTTCCTCCTTCACATTTAAGCCATCGGCAGCCGGAGCCCACGCAGTTGCCTTTTTCCTCCGAGGAGGAGGTTGGTTGGCTCTCTTAAAAGTAGTTGGCTTAAAAATAGATCGCACATCTTCCCTGTTGCTGCAGCATGGGCACACACCTCCCTGCACCCTTCCTGCCCCAGCCGGGCCCCGCCAGCACCTTTTCGTTGAGGCTGCAACAGTGCCCATGCCTCGATCCTGATCTGTCCCTCTCTGCCAGCGCCTCTCCCACTGGCCTGGCTAGTCCTGGCTCTGTTGGCCCTGCCTTCAGCTCCCTGCCTGCTTTGAGCCATTGTGCAGGGCTGGACCGCTGTCTCAGCCCGGCAGCACTCCAGCACATCCCTACCAAAGGTAATGTTGTTGTGCTTTAGTTCTGTGCTGCACTCCACCAGCAAATGCTCTTCACCCCAGTTGCACCTGCACAAACCTCCCCATGGCCTGGCTGGATCTTGCCGCTTGGTGGCATGGGGCTGCACCCTCCTCCACACTGGGTCGGGTGCCTGTGGTGGGTGAGAGCAAGCTGGGGTGGCAGGTCAGGCTGCCGCTTCCCCAGCCACTGGCACGGAACCCTGGAGCCCGGCAGTCAGTCAGGTGTTGGCAAGTCGGCATGCAGTGGGGAGAGGTTTTGGCTCTGTCTGGCTGGGCATGGTGTGCCGTGTTGCTGATGCAGGACTAAAGCCAGCGAGGACCTTGCTGGGTGTCCCCACAGGTTTGCTGGCTGTGGCTCCCAACCCAGGTGTTGCTGGGAGTTAGGGTGCAAGCTGCGAACTGGGCAGCAAAGCTGGGAGCCTGGTGTAGAGTGGGGCAGCCAGGAGGGTTTGCCATGCCTCGCAGGCTGGTGTGGGGATTTGAGCATGCTGACAAGGTGGGCAGGAGCTGCAGATCAAAGCTGGCCTGGGTTTTGCTAGGCCAGCACTGATTTGGGAGAGGCTCAAGGGAAGTCCACTGGAGTTGGCACCAAACCGGCACATCTGCAAGCTGTGCAGAGACATTGCCCAGCGTGCCCGAGGGGTTGAATGGGACTGCGCCAGGCTTTCTCAGACTGGGAGGTGGCAGCTCACTTTGCAGTGTCCCTGCTGTATGACAGGGTGGGTTTGGAGGTCTCTGCCTGGGACCCCATGCACCCTCCGCCTGCCCTAGTGCCAGCACCTGCTGGAGATTAAGAACAGAGGTTTCCCCGTAGCTGAAAGCCCTTGCTTGGCCTCCCAGTACTGGCCAGCATGAACTGGCCTGGAGCTGGGATCTGTGGAGGGGAATGGGGAGTTTCTGGCTGGTTTGGGAGCACATTGCCTTCAGTGCCTGGATGTGGACATGGCTCTGCACTGTGTCGGTTGCCCATTGACGTAGATGAAGAAAGGTTGAACTTGCACACTGAGCAAGAGCAGAGCCTGGCCCCAGTTCTCAGGACTGAGTCCCAAACTGCTGCGTTCACTTGGTGAAGCTGTCCTTGGCTTTATGCTCTGCAGCAAGCCAGCTGTGGGTCAAGCGCTGCTGCGACACAGGAGTAGTGTTTGGGACTTGTTGCTGCAGAAGATGATCAGCTGTGGACTCTTTTGGCTTCTGCTACCTGTAGCTTTTCCAAAGTTGTCTTACCTCCTGTGTTTCCCAGGCTGGAAAACTGCAGATCAAGCCCACATACACATCTTCAAGGGTGAAACTCTTTTGCTCTTTTTATTTTCTTGCTCTTACTGTCCTCTCTTCCACCCCATGGGTCTCTCCTCCCTCTGTGCCCCACCTGCACCCCAGGCACCCTAACACGGTGGAGTAGCTCAGCCCCAAAGCGGGGAGCCAGCACTCCCAGGCCCCATTCAGGTAGAGCCCCTAAACCCTGGTCTTTGTTTTGCCCCGACAGGCCATCACTCAGTCCCTGAACACCATGACTGAGGACATTTATACCAATGGCTCAGCGACTCTGGGCAGCCCCTCCCACAGCAACGGCCGCGAGGTGCGGAAGATACGCCTCATCCAGTTCGAGAAGGCCACGGAGGAGCCCATGGTGAGAACTGGCAAGATCCCAAAGCCTGGTGGCACCCAAGGGGGTGGAGGGGCAGGTAGATCTATGCCAGTGGGCTGGCCTATAGTTGGAGCAGGAGATTGCTGGAGACCTTGGCCACAGGAAGAAGGTGCTGGATCCTGCCTCCTGTCTGGGGACCTGGAGCGAGCCCCATCAAAGAGTGGTGACGCTTGTGCCAAGAGGAACTGCAGCAGGCTGAGCTGGCCAAGCAGGGGACTTCCCCCCAGCCACTGGACAGCCCACCATGGACATGGGCCTGGAGAGGACTTTGCTCAGAGCGCAGGAGCTCTCCCCTCCAGCAAGCAGTCATGGATTTTCCTGTCTTCCAGGGAATCACGCTGAAGCTCAACGACAAGCAGAGCTGCATGGTGGCCAGGATCTTCCACGGGGGCATGATTCACAGACAAGGTAACAAGGCCCTCATAGAAGCAGTGTATGGGGTGCACGTCTGCAGCTCATTTCTTTCTGTGCAGAGATGAGGCAGCCCCCCAGCACTGCTGGCTTTCCCCTGTGATGTGGACATCTGTGTCTGTTCCTCCACTAGGAATGTCAGGAACTCAGGACTCGCTGATCTTGCTGCATGGTTGTCATGTTACTATACTGGAGGCTTTAGGGAGAAATGAAGGGTTGGAGGAAGGGCTCTTCCAAAAAGGAACTGGAGACTGTCTGTCTCTGTCTCGTGATGGGGTCACTGTAACAAGAGATGGATCATACCCCAGAGACTGCAGGGAAAGCTCTTCCAATTCCTAAAGTGCACAGGTGGGACAGGCTTGCTGTGAATTGGCTCTGCAGACCAAAAGAAGATGCCAAAAGAAATGAATAGGTGCTATTTTCTGGTTTGGGGTCCTGCCAAGGGGGCATGGAAATTAGATGTTCTGTTCTTAGAAGAGGCCCCTTTTCCAGCCTTGGATCTAAGTGGGAAGTCTGAGCTTACCCCTGGCAAAATAACCCAGGAGCCATTCCAATAATGCTACTGGAGCCTGATTTATAACAGTATATCTGAGGCTGTAATCTGGCTGGGTATATAAACTGAAAACACACAAAGTCAAGAATGCTTGTGTTAAGGGCCCTGTAAGGAGGCTGTCATTTGGCTTCAGGTGAGGTACTTGGGGTTGTACCTGAAACAGGTGCTTTGACTAGTCTAAAGTGCTGAAGGACACACGGTGGAAAGCAACCTGATGATCTTCAGACTGGATGAAGTGTGTGTATTGGGTGGAGTGGGAAGAATTCATTCCCCTTGTGCTTTGGTCCCATGTGCTTAGGACGTGTGGCTCTGCAAGCATTGCCCAGGCAAACACCACAGTGTCCTGGCCACAGCTTGCCCAGGAGGTTGGGAGGCTGGTGGAGCTGTGTAGTTTGGGTTTGGTGAGCAGCTCTTGTTCAGTCCTGCATTTTCATGTTTCTCCCATTGCTGGCAGGCTCCCTTCATGTGGGTGATGAAATCATAGAAATCAATGGGCAGAGTGTGAGCAACCACTCAGTTGACCAGCTGCAGAAGATGCTGGTAGGTATTTGTGTTTGGCAGGGCTGTTCCCCAGGAAGGACCCATTTGGCCTGCAGATGTGCATGCTGGCTGAACATTCACCCCCCTCCTAGATACCAGACCCAACACACAGCTGCCTGCAGCAGTGTGATGTGGCAGGAGAAAGGGCCGCTGTGCTGTAATACGGCCAAATGCCAGGTCTATGTACACAGCCTTGGTGGTCTGTGCTTGCTGCTTGTTTCTGTCCTCCTGAGACCAGCAGCGAAGGCTGTTGGCTGGGTCCCTGACATATGCTTGATGGGTGTGGGGCTTGGAAACCACCTCTGCTTGCCAAGGCTGGTGTGCAACTCCAGCCCAGGGGCCAGCTGCTCTTGCAGACCTGAGCTGCTCCTGCAGGTCATCTTGGTGCCATTTTCCTGCTGCTGAGGTCATGGTGATCCTGCCAGGCCCTTGCTAGAAAGAGCTTTAGACAGAGTCTCAGACCTGCCTTGGGTTCTCACACTAAGGTCATTCTGGTCCATGCCCAGCATGTGGGACCTGGCTGGAGGGAGGTGGTGGTGGTGCTAAGGACACCCACCAGCAGCCTCAACAGGAGGCCTGGCCCTGCTGCAGTGCCATGGTCCTCTCTTGCTTGGTGGCAGGACGTCCCTGCTCCAGACAGCAGGACCAAGGAGGAGCTTGTCTTTATCTGTTTCCTGAGAAGGGCAGTTGGCCCAGGAGGCCCCTCGAAGCCTCCAAATGTGGTTGTCCCCACAGGATCGTGTAGGTCTTGTGAAGCACGTGGGGCAACAGTGCATCTGGCCTGTGGCAGGCAAGGGAGTGCTGTGCCTCTAATGTCACCAGGAGGGCAGGAGCGAGAAGCCAGCATGGAGAGGACAGATGGAGGAGACCTGGCAGAACCAGCCTCTCCTCCCAGGCTCCTCACTGGGGCAGCCAGGCCGGAGACGATACAGATCTCCATGTTTGTTCCAGTGATGTTTAGCAGTGCCCACAGCCAGTCCCTTGTGGGGGTGTTGGTGTACCCCCATGGGGATGGGACAAGCATGGCAAAGCTATGCTGCCACAGCTCTTAGCTCAGCCCCAGCAGAGCTATTTCTGGCCAGGCTGTGGTGTCCCCAAGCATCACAGCATGGTTGGGAGCATCCAGGATGCTTGCCTTTGCAGGTCCTGGCACTCAGCAGCTCCCTACACAGGTTGCTGCTGTCAGGCTGCCTCCAGGCATCACCTCCTCCAACTCTTCTTTCTCCCCTTTGTTCACTAGAAAGAAACCAGGGGGATGGTCTCAATAAAAGTCATTCCCAACCAACAAAGCCGCCTCCCTGCTCTCCAGGTAAGTGCAGCCTCCAGACCTGTGGGCTGTGCTGGGACATGGTTGTGGGGCCGGGTGGGGCCAGAGCAAACCATGAGGGACCAGCGCTGGGGAGAGACCTGTGCTGAGCCAGGGGAAAGGACAAGGGGATGGCTGCCCAGTCACCTTGCCTGAGCTGCTGGAGGATGAAGGGACCTGTCCTGTGCTTACATCACTGCAAACGAGCAGATTTTGGCCCCGTGTGGATGTATTTACCCAATGTGTATGTAGGAACGTGCGCCTGGGATGCCTGAGCCACAGTGGTACGTGTGCAGTGTTTGGTGATGGGACAGCAGTGGCATGTGCACACCAGGAAGTGTGAGAGAGTTTCCTGCCACCTTCAGAGCCATGGCCATTAGAACCACATCCCCGTTACGGGGCCACAGCAGCACCTCCAGGTGCAGCACCAGGCTCTCACTGCTCCCCGCCATCATTGATGGCCAGTGCATCAGCCACAAGGAGGGTGACATAGGTCCGGATGCTGCCAGCATGCTTGTGACCAGCAAGTGGGAGGAAGGAAGTGGTGAGGGAGAGGAAGGCAGCTCCTTGCACCTGCTGCCACTGCCAGGGTGGGGGTGATGTGCTGTGGCAGGGGGTGACACCTGCCTGGCTTTGCCTTTGAAGTCCTGCTGTGGCCAAAATACTCAGGATAGTGGGGAGGGCTAGCTCCTCTGCCAAGACTTAAGTGCATGGTGGCTGGGATGCTGTCCTATTTCTGGGTGCAGGAACCAACTCAGTGCTGTGGATAGGCAGGAGTGGGAGGGTAGCTCAGAGACAGAGGGTGGGGGTGGATGGCGCTGGGCTGGGGGAGTCCATGTCACCCTCCTTCCTTTACCCAGAGAAGCTGAAGTCTCTGAACATGGTGGCAAGTGAAAACTGTCTCTGATTCTTGCTCAGCCCATGCTGTCCCCATTCCAGCTCAACCAGCCTTGCACATTTGTTTATTAAACAGTGGCCCATGTCTGCCCTTCCCTGCTGTCCATCTGCTCTCCCGGGCCTGACCCAGCCAGCTCCAATTGGCCAGGCCAGCTCAGTGCCGGAGGGGAAAAGTTACCTCAGAAAAAGAACATAGTTGCTGGCTTGCCCAAGGCTGGCTGTGGGCTCAGGGAAGGATACAAGGTCAAACTCCTTCCCAGCAACAGTTGTCCTTCCTCTTCCTGTCTCCAGGGCCGTGGTGCTGTCTGCTCCCCAGAAACACAGCTCACAGGCTGCCCATGTCTCTGCTTGTTGCAGTCCACTGCCGAGAATGGACTTGATTTTGTTTAAACTCCTGGATCCGCATGATCACCATCATTTCAGAGCCTGGCAGGCAGGATGGTGCAGATCCTGGCATCACGATGACCCCCTGCGCTGGCTTGCCCCACAGCCTGGCAGCCAGCCATTTTAAGGCCAACTGAGTGTCCCTTGGGGCAGGTCTGCTTGGGAGGATCTTAATGAGGAGAAGCACTGAGCACTCGGGGCTCTCAAGGTCACCTCCAACATGTTCCCAGGCACAAACTGCAGCCTTTTGACTTTAAAGACCAGGGCTTCTCATGCTGGAGCCTGCTCAGTGCCTGGGCTTCTAGCCCCAGAGAGGTGGCTGGCAGCAGGCAAGCAAATAAATAGCTTGCATTTGGAGCTGGCCCTTTGCACCACCCACCTTTGGGTGGTGCCTGGAGCTGTCTAATGCTAATTCATAATTGGTGTAAGGGAAGGTCTTTCCAAAAGTGACGTAGCTATGTCTGGTTGGGGGTATCAGGGCCGAGAAGCGGGAGCAGAGGCCTCCAGGCAGATGCCTGGGCAGTGCTTGCTGTATGACCCTTGTGTGTTTGTGTTGATGACCAGCTTCCTGGTGCCAGAGAGTGCTTTCAAAGCAAGCATCAGTCCTCATACTGAAAGGAGATTCCACTCTTGTCTTCCATTGTGAGAGATCTCATGTCACAGTTTGATCCATTTGCTCTGTTTTTCTGGCAGTGAGAGAGAACCACGTTTGTTCACAGACCTGCTGGCCCTGTGCCTCCAGCAGCATTGCTGAAGGAGGACATGCTGTGGGAAATTGTTTTGATGTGGAACAATGACAGCATGGTATACCCTACCCAGGGAGCATGATTTTCCAGGCCCTGCCTATCACATCTGAGGACAGGACATAGGCATCAGCCCACATGAATCCTTTTGTCCGCTCGCTACATGCTGTGTTTCTGGGATAAATAACTTGATGGGGTTGTACGTGGGGAAAGCCTGCATTAGAACAAGAATGAGGCTGATTCTGATGGTGCTGCTTCCCCTGTAGAAGGATCTCCTGCTGATGGCACGACTGCTGGGCAGCCCTTCAGACACGCTGCTGGCTCAGAGCCCAGCACCCTCCTGAGTGATCACAGAAGTCTCAAACAACAGGAACTGCCCATGACTTGTGGGAGAGCCTGCAGGACTTTGCACCATGACTGGGGGCTCCCAGCAGCCTCAGGCCCACAGGACAAAAAAACCCCAGGAGGGTAGCAAATGCAATGTGAGGTTTGTGCTTAGCCACAGCCTTACTTTGTTCCCTAAACCCTGCCTTTCACTCCCCATCCTCCATATCCTGCCTTGGCTTTTCCCCCATCCTAGTCCTGACCTGGTCCTGATCTTGCCAGTAGCACTGGCCAGAGACAAATTGCAGCTGCATCAGCATTTTAGATGAGAAACTGTTCATCCAGGCACTGAGAGCAAGCAGTAGTGCAGAAAGTGCTGGGTGCACATGTGTGGTCTGCCCTCCTCCTGGGGATAGGTGACTCTTATCCATCCTGTTGCTCTCTGATGGTCTGTTCTTCCTGAACAGGCTTCCTGGAAAACAAGGTCTGTGTGTGAAAGCCACATGCTGTTTCTTTCCTGACCTTGCAAAGATGTTTGGGGGGCAGCAAGAGCCCAGAGGCGCCCAGCTGCCTGCTGGCTTCAGGCCTTGAGGCCAGGGGGAGGCAGCAGGGTGGGCTGCCCCAGTGGGAGCAGGTGCTGTAGACTCCCTCCAAAAAGCTGAGTGAGCAGAAGGGAGAGGGAAAGGCCGCTCTGTCATGCTTTCCTGGTTCCCAGCACTTCCCCAGCCCCAGGAGGGTGGCACAGTGGCCTGGGAAGCAGCAGCAGCTCCTTTCCAGTTGCAGCTGTGATGAACATAACATTGCAAGAGTAGTTGATGCTGAAGAGGCCAGACACAGGCAGGGATGGACATGACACTGCAGCCTTGGCTCCCCAAAGGCCCCGTGCCACTCAGGGGAGTGTCTGCTGCTGGGGAGAGGCCAAGGTACAGCTGAGATGTGGCCTTTCCTGGGGTCCCCAGGACATGGGATTGCAGGTTGCACTGTTGTGATGGCTCCTCTCTGCTCATCCCATTGCAGACCCCAATTGCTGTGCACCCTGTTGGTCCAGGTAGTGGGACTCATCTCTGGCTGGCTCAGCTCACCAGCACTGTGCAGCACGGGGCGGGGGGGCTACATGTCAGGGTTCGAGCACCAGCTGTGGGGCATGCAGGCGTGCCTCGAGGCAGCAGCCGTTTCACTGGCTCCCAATAGGGCCAAGATGTTGTCCTCCTCCCTCCCTCACCCACCAGCACATCTCACTGCAGCTCCATGCCCAAGAGCTTCCCCCAAGGCTTTGTGCATCTCCTTTCTCCCCACCTAGCCTTGTGAGGCCTGGAAAGCAGCAGGGACTGGGGTCCCTCCTGGAGCAGGGACCTTGTGCCTGGAGCCAGCTCTGCAATCACTGCCAGGGGATGCAATGTGGGGTCAGCAGCTAGACACAACCAAGTTTAGCCACCCTGCATGGCCATGCTGACTCCAGCCTGCTCTCTTGTTTGCAGATGTTCATGAGGGCACAGTTTGACTACGACCCCAAAAAAGACAACCTAATCCCCTGCAAGGAAGCAGGGCTGAAGTTTCAGACCGGCGATGTGATTCAAATCATAAACAAGGATGACAGCAACTGGTGGCAGGGCCGGGTGGAGGGGTCCTGCACCGAGTCGGCAGGACTCATCCCTTCTCCGGAGCTGCAGGAGTGGTAGGTCCCTGGATTTGGCCAAAAGGGCTGGATCTGGGAGTGGAGGCGGGAACAGTGACCATGTGCTACCAGGAGTGTGACTGTTTTGGGTAACGCCAGCGTTACTGTTAGGAAAAGGAGGCAAACGTCCCCTTCATCTGCCACAGAGTGAGCCTTTACCTGTCCCAGCAGCCACCCTGCTCCTCTCGCCCTTGCATGTCTGAGGGACAATCCCACTGCTCCCCCAGATCTTGGGGTAACAGCTGGACCATGGTGGTGTCCTCCTCTCTCGGCAGGCGTGTGGCGAGCATCACCCAATCCAGTCAGAGTGAATCCCCAAGCTGTAGCCCATTTGGGAAGAAGAAGAAGTGCAAAGATAAATACCTGGCCAAGCACAGCTCAAGTAAGTGTGAGCAGGGCAATGGGCTCCATCCCCAGCCCTGGCCATCACTCCTGCCTCTGGGCAGAGGCAGGTCTGTCCTCCATGGGAGTCAGACGAAACGGCCCACCTGTGTTGGCAGTGGGTCCTCTGGAAGATACCCCACAGCTGTCAGCTTTTTTGAGTCCCTTCTCCAAAGTCCTCATACCCCTCAGGTGGCCACGTGTAGTGCACAAGGCTGGGGCCAGCTCATGCAGGAGCCAGGCACTGAGCTCCTATACTCTCCTGCAGTGACAAGCCCTGGCACTCCTGGCCCCGAGCTCCTTGGGACGTCAGGCTCCCAGGCCTCAAACCTTGCAAGCTGCTGCATGCAGGGCAGGTGGTGGCCTTGCTGCTGCTCAGCAATGAGGGAGCAGCCTGAACTGCTCCCCACAGCTGCCAAGCTGTGTCCCTGGTGGGGCAGGGAGCCTGCCCCTCAGTCACCCATGCAAACACCTCATGCTAAGCATGCCCTGGGCCAGCAAACATAGGTGCCTGAGGACATCCTGGCTCCTAGCCCAGCCTGCAGCTCCAACCAGCAACAAACATGGCCATAAATCAGGAAGATAAAGAAAGCTCTGCCAGCAACAAGCTCCCTGCAGCATCCTGCCCCATGTCCTACTGTCCTGAGCAGAATTACTGAGCAAGAGCAGCCCTGGCTTCTCCTTCGGCAGCTGCTGGTCCAGGACTCCAGCACCCCCTCTGCACCTCACATGCTGCTTGCTGCTGCCCTTTTCCCCAAAGCAGCCAAACAGGGACAAGCTCCCAGCCCAGTCCTGATCACTCCCTCCATTATGCCCAAGGACCTGCCTGTGGTCCAACATGTATGCAGTCCCGCTGCTGTGGCCAAGCCAGCTCTGACCACTTGCTGTCTTGTTTCTCCTCCACCCCAGTTTTTGACCAGCTGGATGTGGTTTCATATGAGGAGGTGGTGAGGCTGCCTGCCTTCAAGAGGAAGACTCTGGTGCTTATCGGTAGGTCCTGCCCCAGGCATCCTCCATAGCGCAGGGGCTGTGTGTGGTGGGTCCCCAGGGGGAACAAGGACTGGACAGGGGCTAGAGCAGTGCTGCCCTCCAAAACCTAGTAAGCTCTGGGGAGTATTTCTTCCGCCTGCAGCAGTCACCAAGCAGGCTGACCTCCTCCATGCAGCATTGTGCATAGTCTGGCCACCTGCACTGTGATGCTGAGGTAGAGTTAATTCAGGGGTTTCCAGCTCCTAAGTATTTTTATGGATAATTTTTATTAAAAGCAGCTGTGGTCTGCACAGCTGCACCAAAGCAAGCACTCCCAAGCTGTGGGTGCTGGGCACTTGTCAGTGGATGCCATTGGCATAGGCAGCCCATGTGGCCCAGCTGTGGTGGCCACTCAGCAGGCACAGGTCCTGTCTCCAGCTGGGGCTGGAGGCGAGTACACCCAGGGCAGGGAGACACCATGGACCAGCTCAGAAAGCAGATCCTGGGCAAGGCCCCAGGAGCTCTGCACCTTTCCTCAGATGCAAAGCTGCAGAGGGGCCCCAGCATCTCCTGCAAGGCTTCTCTGAGCCCAGCTCCAGCATCCATCCCTCCTTCTCTGCAGGGGCCAGTGGTGTGGGCCGTAGCCACATCAAGAACGCTCTGCTCAGCAACAACCCAGAGAAGTTCATGTACCCACCCCCATGTAAGTACCCAGCCAGGGTGAAGGGCACAGCACAGGACACGTTTCCTCTCACCTCCTTGAGCTGGGACCTCCTGACAGGAGATGGGGAGATGTTCCTCCAGCACCACCAAGCCCCTGATGTCAGAGGCCACCACAGAGGGCACTGTAGGACCTCCCTGCCTGCTGTCCCATGGGCTGAACCTACCCACAGATGGCTGCAGGGCTGCTACCGCACACACTGCAGAGACACCTCACTCTGCATATCCCAGTGGCTCTCCTCAGGCTGGCCAAGTTCCCTACTTGTCCTAAGCAGGAAGGAGGTGAAAGGGGACTAGTACAGCCTAGTCCTGAGGTACACAGGTCCTCCGTGCCGTAGCCCCATGCTCAGAAAGGGGAGGCAAGACACCCAGGTCACCCAGAACAGAGGCTGTCCACTCTGCTCTGTTCCCCAGTCCTTTTGGGGGCCAGCACTCACCATCTCCCTCCCTCCCCAGACACCACACGCCCCCAGAAGAAGAATGAGGTGGATGGGAAGGACTACTACTTTGTGTCTACTGAGGAGATGACCCGGGACATCTCGGCCAACGAGTTCCTGGAGTTTGGAAGCTACCAGGGAAACATGTTTGGCACCAAGTTTGAAACAGTGCACAAGATCCACCAGCAGGACAAAGTCGCTATTTTGGACATTGAACCCCAGGTAGTAAGCAGGGGAAAGGGTGGGCAGGATGGGGGCTGCCACAGATTGAGCTACCTGTGTGCTGGCTGTAACTGTCCCTGCCTTCCCTGTTGCACTGCCCACCGGCCCTTCCCAAAGGAAAAAGCCAGGGAGTGCTGGAGTGCCACTTCCATTCCCAAGATACAAGAGCAGTGAGGGTATTCCAACGTCACAGCAAGACCAGGGCCAGGCTGCCGTGGGGGTGCAGGGCCAGCACAGGCCCCACACAGGGACCCTTTCCCCCTCTCCAACACCAAGCATCTGGGTGCTGCTTTGCAAAGAGACAGTTGTGTCCAGTAGCCAGCCCAGAGCGGGGCTGGTGATGCCCTAATGTTCTGCTCCATGAGATGCAGGGGAAGCCATGCCGGAACTCCTGCTCCAGCTTTGCCGAACTGTCTCCACATCACCCAACCACACACAGGCTCAGGAGTCCACCCAGAGAGCCCACGGACCCAGACTAAGGGTGGCCCCTTTAGCCCACCACTGCATCAAGTGCACCATCGCATCCTGGCTGGGGGGGCAGCATGGGGTAGTGGGGGACAGCAGCCAGCCAGCTGCACTTGCTCCCACCCTGAGGAATGGCCACATTCTAACTACACCCCTCTCTCCACAGACCCTGAAGATCATCCGCACGGCTGAGCTCTCCCCATTCATAGTCTTCATTGCCCCAACAGAGAAGGCAGAGCAGGTGGGTGGCAGGGCACCAAGGCTGTCTCCCTCTGGCCAGGCTTGCCTGCCCGTGGCAGGGGGGGCAGGGAGCCTGCTGCAGCAGCCCAGGACTCTCTCCCTGCTTCACATCAGCTTCTTCCTGTCTGCATTGATTTTTGTGGTCCAGGAGAGCACAGCAACTTCCTCAGCCCAGACCTGAGAAACGCGAATTGGCGATTCCTGCAGCTGTAAACTCTCTCCCAGATTGACACTGCCCAGCAACCATCATCCCTGCAGCACAATCAGCTGCTAACATGTAGTAGGGAGCACAGCACAGCCCAGCCCAGCCCCCAGGGCCATTTCCAGCTGCAGCAGTGCTGCAGAGCAGGAACATTTATCCTGCCATCAGCAATGCAAATGGGACACACAAACAGCAGCTCCTTTCATTCTTTGCCTTAAGATGCTCATCCCTCCAAAATTAGGATGACAGCAGCACTGATGACACAGTTAACTCACACAGCGCCAAGCACCACAAGGCTGGCAGCCACACACTGCTATTTCCTGGGAAGCCCCCCAACACAGGGAGCAGTGCTGCCTACCCTGCCCTGCTGCAGCCTGCAACCCCTGATGGCTAACCTCCACAGGGAGACGGGAAGCAAAGGGGAAGCAGGGAAACCCATAGAGCTGTGCTTCTCCTGGACTCATGGCCAGCCACCTCCTCCAACCTATTAATTTGGGGTTCACAAAGCTTAAGATACAGATATTTATGCAGCCTTCAGAGCAAACACTGCACAGGCATTTAGAGCCACGTTAACCTGCAGAGGATTGTAAACCCAGATGCAGCAGGCTGGGGAGGGGGGGAAGGGGGGCCAGTGTCAGGGCAGAAAGGGCAGTTAGGCAGCCTGCTACCCCCACCTCCATACCCCATCACCCACCACTGCCTCCAGACAGAGGAATTAAGTCCTGCCGCAGTGGGCAGGGCCAGCTCTGCTGGTGCAAGCACTATATATAGCTAGCTGCCGCAGCTCAGGGAACTGCTTACTAGAAGGCATGGAGCAGAGCCAAAATGTGACCCAGCAGAGCTCACATGACCCAGGCAAACTGCTTATTGCTCTCCCCTCTCCACCCCCAAGAGCTGCCAGGCAAGACACACCAGAGCTGCAGTGAGAACAGCACCCCAAGCTCATGCCCCATCCCACCCCCAGCACTGAGGCATGGAGCCACCTGCGTTTCAAGCTCTGTTAGGGAGCTATGTGAAAATCGGTCTGGACTTTGCTGTTGAGGGCACAGCTGCCCACAGGGACACACTCCCAGGATGCCCCTGCTAGATGGGGAGCTGCGCAGGACAGCAAAATTGGCAGGAGGGAGCAAGCAGCTTACTTTTACTATGAAGAAATTTAACTCTATCCCAGCCCAAACCAGTAGAGAGGCTGGTACAGCACTCCCAGCAGGGAGAGACCATCATGCAGGGATCCTACCTTGAAACCAGCCTTAGGCCTTGAGCTGTCTATACTGCATAGTGTAGTAAAGAGCAGCCTGCTGCTCAGTGAACATTCTCCTCCCAGGGAGCTGCCACAAAGCATTTTGAAGATAAATACGAGACCAAGCAGGTCTGGCCTCACTTAGCAGGTAACCGGATGCTCCCAGCATTGCATGAAAGTCCAGCAAAACCCCCAGACACACACTCCCAAAGATCACACAACAGCTCCTAGCTTGTCAGACAAACTGCAGGGATGGGCTGTGCTCTGATAGTTAGCAGCCACTTGAGTTGGTTTTGGTGGTGGGAGGGAATTTGCCTGTTGGGGTGGGCTGTGAAATTACCCTCCTCCCCAGCCTCCTGAGCACTCTCTCCCATTTCTTGCAGTCAGAGGCTTTGCAGCAGCTCCGGAAGGATTCAGAGAGCATCTGGAGCCGGTATGCACACTACTTTGACCTCTCACTGGTCAACAACGGGGTGGAAGAAAGCCTCCAGCTGCTGCAGGAAGCCTTTGAGCAGGCCTGCAGCTCTCCACAGTGGGTGCCTGTCTCCTGGGTCTACTGAGAAGGCATCTGACCCCAGCTGCTTCCCATCAACCATCCTGCAGCCATGGGGAGAAACCTTCTCTTTAGCTTCCACACACAACCCAGCACAACTCCCCTCCTCTGCTGCTCCACAGACATGGTCTCAATTGGTTGACACACATGGACACACAGAGTCTCCGGATCCCCTCTCCCAGGGGAATGCAGGTCAGGGGCTGCCCAGGAGATGGCCACCTCCCTCAGCACTGCAATGCAGCACTAAGTGGCTACAGCAGAGCCCAGGGCACCCCGTTAGCTCAGAGGATGGCTCCCCACCTCACCAGGCAAGGGAAAGCACAGTCCTGCTGTAGTACCCGGCCAATCTTCTCTGCATCAGTCCCAAGGGAAGTGGTAGAGCAAGGCCTTTCCAGGCAGATGTCCCCTGCTATCATGGGAGTGCACACTGTGCCACAAACACCTTGAAAGCCTGGCTGGTGTCTGCAAGGCTTCAAGGATGCCCACGGCTTAGGAGGTTTTGCACAGACCATGCCAGAGCTCCTACATCCAAGGGTTTCCCCTCACAAATGGGGAAGAGCAGAAAAAGGCAAGCATGGATTTCACAAAGGTGGCATTCTCCGTGCCATGCCCAGGCAGGTCTCACCCTGCGTTCTGACCTTGGGAGTTCCGATTCACCCTGTGCAACTGTAGTTGTAAAAACTCACTGTATTTAAATTCTCACTGTCCAGCTTGGATTGTTATTGCCTAGCCAGAGAAAACTCGGCAGCAGCTGAGAAGTCCCACAGATAAACCCCAGAGGAACAGTTCAATGGGTAAACTGGATCCAGCTACAATTATCTGTTGCATGCAGTAGAAACAGTGTCTCTACAAAGATCATCCAAGCATGCTTTCCAGAGTCTAGGGTGTCTCACACATTGTATGCAAACATAAAAGCCACCCACACAAAGGGGTTCTTTCTTCTGCAGGAGCGTACTGACACATAAGCCCCACCATGACCATGTCCCAGAAAGCACCACCATGCCTCCCGGGCAAACTGTAGCCATCATTTAGGTGAAAATCTCATTTGTGTTCAGCAGTCAGCTAGGGGAAAGGGGAACGGGGTTAAGAAGTCTTGTGCAATTTTTTAAGGATGCCAAAAATAAAATCTGTTGATGTGCAATAGGGACCTTCGTTCTGATCCACTACAGGGAAACAAAGAGCAGCAATAAACATGTGCTGAAACATTGCTGTGACTGGTGTTTTGCCTCTTAAGCTGAGCACTTGCTCACAGCTGAAGTCTGCTCCTGCCTCTCTGACTCTGACGCTCAAGGTTCAGCAGGCCAGGGCCAAACAGTCCCTCCAGCCACCGTCAGACCTCTCCAGAAGCTCACTTCAGCACGGGCAAAGGAGGAAAGAGCATACCCAGATTCCAAGCACACACCCCAGTGGGTTTTACCAAAGTGGAGGGTGGCCCCTAACCACCTGCAAAGTCCTGACCAGCAACAAAGGCCCCTCTAGTGATAGTCCACATCAACATGACCACTTCTCTGTACCAGCAGCTTCTTCAGGAAAGCAGCACAAAGGCTGGGCAGAAGGGGCAGCCATTTACATGCCCACCTGCAGCACGCACATGCATTAAGCTGCCTCCCCTCCCCACAAACAGACCACTGACCTCTTATAGGAACCAGATGAGCAAGAAAATCACCCATTCAAAAATAGGGCTTTTATTTTTATGTAAAAAAGTAAATAAAAATGGACTTTTTCTGCTCAGGCTCTGACAGCCACCAGCTGCTGGCCCCACTGCCTGCATGTATCTCCAACACTGGATGGGAGAAAAGTCACACAGTTAAGACAAAAGCAATGCACGAGGCTAAGACAAACATTACAGAATCTCTGCAGGGATGAAGCAGCCTGGATCCTTCCCCATTAGAAGGGGCTAAAATCCTGCCTCAGCACTACCCCTGTGCCAGAGAAGAGACCTCCTGCCCCCAGTGAGCCACCCCAGATAAGGAAATTAGGACAAGTGTTTCTGAAACTGTTCAAGCCCCACATCCAGTGCCCCTTGCAGAGCTCCCTCTAGCCAAGCTTTTCCTCACAAGGACTCCAGTCCCAACAGCCCTTTAGAACAGCATACTGGCCAGCCGCCTTCTGGTCACTTCACTTCTGCCACCCAGCAGCCTTCAGAGCATATTAGATATCAAAACCAGGGAAGGCAACTGAAAGCGCTGCGGTCCCATTCCAACAACTGGGTAGAGAAGAGCAAAGAGCCAGCAAAAGGTACACACTGACAAGGTCACTGGGTCTGGGGATCAGCCGACAACTAACAAACAGGTCCCTGCACTATAAAGTGAAAAGCAGGAATTTAACATTCTAATCCTTTTATGATAAAGTTAAAAAAAAAAGTACTTAAGAATATCTGGTGGACTATTTGATCTCATCTAGCTGAGGGTCAAGCCAAGCACAGGGCCAGGTTAAAGCAAACCAGAGCCCTTCAAATAACCAATTTGACTGTCCCCATCCAAACCCATTCAGATGGGCCATAACAAAGCCAGTCCTCCAGACACCAACACATTCTGTGACTGTCAGGTAACAGCTCCAACCTTGGAAGAAAAGGAAGAAAGAGGCAGGAAAAGAAAGGAGAGAAACAGTATTCCTCCCTCTCAAGGTGAAAATAGAGACACCAAGTAAGAGCCAGGAGCTACAACTTCCCTGAAGATACCACTTCTATTGGCATCATGGCGTTCAGCTTTAGAGAGCAAACCAGTGCAGGTGCAGTCAGGCACCCCGCTCCTCTGGCAACCCTTAAAACAGGATGAGGAGGGGTACTGGAACAGGGCGTATTCCTGGGCAACCACACCCACTTAACTCATATACACAGCAGAAAAGGAACTTGGAACTTGATGGCCCCTCTGCCACACAGCCAGTCCTCTTTTTCTCAAGGCCTCAGACTCCTCCCTCCCTACCAATGAGGTCTCCTGCTTTGGACAGATCCAGTCGCTTACTCCAAGCTCTCTTCTACCTCCTTTTGTTTCTTCTTCTTTTTCTTCTTGGTGCTGGTCTCACTGGTCTGTGAAGAGGTTGGAGAGGTCAGGCAGGAATCAAAAAGGAATCCCCCACTGCTCATTTCAGCAGGAACAGCCTCACTCCAGGCACAGTGCAGGCTCCCCATGGCCATAATCCTCCGTCACCACCATACAAGCACTCAAGCACGCTGACCAAACACCAGCACCATGCCAGGAACCATCCTCCCACTGGGGCACATTACAGGGCACCAGAGCACAGAGATGGCCTGGCAGGAACATGTACCCTGCAACTGCCCCAGGGCATAGATGGCTGTTCACCCCATCCCTGCCCCACTGCAGATCAAGCCTCACCTGCCCAGTCTCCCACCACCCTCAACCAGTTCAGTTTACAAGTGCACCTATACAGACATCTTTCTCTGACTGTGGGGAGCCTGGCACTTTGGGGACATGCACAGCAGGATGCTGATACATTTATCCTGGAGGTATTAGGGAGAGACAGCAATGTCTGCCATGCTTGGACAGTACTGTGGCACCACCCAGTTACATACCACTTCTATTTGCTCTCCCCCACTCTCAGCTGCCTCTTTGGCCTTCTTCTCTTTCTTCTTCTTTTTCTTTTCCTTTTTGCTCAGCTCCTCTGGTGGTGGGGTGGCAGAGGATGGTGGGGTCACAGCCTCCTCATTTTCACTCTCCGACTCTCGCTTCCTCTATTAGGGGAACATGTCAGACACACCGTCTTCCAAAGGAACTCAGCTGATGGGAAAACTTTGCAAGCCCATTGCAACTATTTTACCCAATTCAACCAAACTTCACAGTTAATGCTTCAAGTAGGAGGGTGAGCTACAGACTGCCAGTGGTCACCTCCAGCATACATTGTCTAGGATTTGCTCCTGCCAGAATTGCACCCCATATTTCTTAGTGCTTCCTGTACCCCAAATGCTCCAGAGATTGAAACACTGCTGCACCTTTCCAAGTGCATGCACAAGCCCTGACTTAGATTCTTAGATCACAGCACAAGCTCCAGCTTAGGGAACTTTAGATGCAACTCTTGCACAGACATTTCTGCAACTGTCTGCAGTCTCCAGAAAGGTTCTCTGGCACAACAAGCCTCCACCATGACTCCATACAACGTATTTCCTTGGATGCTGCAGTTTGTATGCCACAAGTCAGAGCTCCTCATTCTCACTGTGCTACAGGACTTGCACCCAAAGTACAACATCCCAGAGACAAACACCCAGGGGTAAGGCCCTAAACAGGTCACCTGACAGCTAGCTCATGGGCCACGCAACCACAACACACATCAGGGCACTAGGCTCCCAGAATACGAAACACTTTCACCTGTAAAACAACCAACCAAAGCAGCACACAATCCAGCACCTGATACCAACTGCCTAAAGGAACAGGTGCATATCCACTCTTCATCAGGGCCCAAACAACGTTACAGCCAGAGAACACTAACAATACTTACTTTTGGAGCCCTCTCCAGCTCTGAAACACCTCGGGGAACAGCAGCTGCCTCTTTCTTGGAAGCATCCCTGAAAGAGAAGATCCCCAGGATAAGCAGGACAGCCACTGCCTCACGCTGCTCTATAAAAGTACAAAGCCCTGTCCCCCTCGCAAGGGCTCCGTAATCCATGCCAAGCACTGGGTGGGGAGACTGGTGTGTGGAAGACCTGCAGCCTGCACCAGGGCCAGCTGGGCTGGGTAACAGCAAGGCCTCCCCCATTTAATTTAGCAGACTGACTCCCTCTAAAACCACAAACACAGGCTAGAAAGGGACAACCATCTGCTCAGGGCCTTTCCTTCCGGCACTGCCCACTAGCAGCACATTCCCTGGGACTGCAAGAAATGCCACTGCACCCCACAGGTCCAGACAGCCGACTGCCTTGGGCCAGGTCTAACATGCTCCAAGCACAAATGGCAGCACCCAGCCCAGCCCTCACTGCACAGGGCTCCCCTCTGCCCACTATGCAGGAGCCACACACCCTGTACCCACCTGTAATCCACGTACTCCTTCTTCCAGGAATCTGGTGTGCTCTCGTTGGGCTTTCCGTGCTTGTCCAATAGACCCTTCTGGATCATCATCTTCTTTTGACTGGCCTGAAAGCAACGTGCAACAAATCAGACTGCCGCTCCAGGGAGGACAAATCCTCCCTGGGGCTTCAGCCACTCAGCCTAAGAGGAGGTAATCCAGGAACAAGCCAAGCCAACTACAGTGTTACTGATTTAACACTTCTCCAAGGACCTTCTAACAAATCACACAACACATCCCTTGCACAGCAGCCTAACAATCTCAGAAAGGAAGCATCTTTATCAGTAAATAAGGACTAATTTGTGGGGGAAGTAACAGCAACAGAGTAAGATGACTCTGCACGTCATGGAGCTCAGATCTTTGCCTGGGTTCCTCCAGCTTAATGACCTCCCACATTTCAGCTGAACCACTCCAGCTGCAAATAAAAGGCTTTGCTAAAGACTCCAAGATGCTTGAACTGGCCCACATTACCTCACATTTGCTGTGAGATAGATGTGCATGCATCTCCAGAGCTTTCTACATTTCACCTGAACCACGGGAATGGGAATAAGCCACAGCAACTTGACACTGAGTTTTAAATCCAAGCTGCATCACTTGCCACAGTGAAACACCAGTCTGGCTGCAGTTAAGCTAGCACTGCTGACCTGCTGATTTCCATGACTACCACATATTTGAGACAGGAGAGGAACCCAATAACAGGTGTTCCCACTACTCCTGTCCTTCAGGCAGAGTTTAGTGTCTCACGAGACAGTCTGCATTTTGGCACTGTTGTAGTTGCACCAGAAGGAAAAGCAGCTCCTTGCCCGGCCCCTCCAGAGCCATCAGTATGGGGTGATAGATGAAGGTCATCTTTGCGCAGAGTGCTAATGCCATCCACTTCACATCATTTGGCTCTTTACCAGAGGAAGGCTGGTGCTGTACAGTCCTGAGGAGCCCGTGGTCTGAGTACCAGCAGCAGCCCCAGCTGGGCCTCGGATAGAGCTGCCCAGGTTCCACTGGGAGGGAAAGCCTCACTCCCACTGTCACTGGGCTGGCATGGCCCTGGCACTGGGA